CTGGAAGCCGAGTAGCACCGACGGCTAGGTGAAATCAAGGGTTGGCCACCACTCTCCTTCCGCCACTCTGGACTGAGCAAGGAAAAGGGCACTCTCTCCAGCAAACGATGGTTCCGTATATGTAATACATGGCCTAACCAACGCAGTTGCGGGACATATCCTTCAATGGAAGCTCCCGTTGCACAACCGAAAACTCGCTTTCTGGTCACCTAGTTACGGATTGTCCGATACCAGTCCACACGAGTTATAATCCTGAGACAGTGACTGCTGAACATCTGAAGACGCCTCAGTTTTGCTGCTCGAAAGACTAAGTTTCAGCCATACAACAGAGCTCGTTGTAGCCTGACACACACGTCACATGAGACTCAGGGATACACCACTCAGACACCACAGGTGTCTCCAATTAGCAAACGCGACCCGAGCCTTGTAGGTTCGTGCATTGACTTCATTTCACAGCACAATCAGAACCAATACGACTTCGAAGATCAGCAAAACGCTCTACAACTTCCAGTACCCCTCCCTGGATTGTAAGTGGCGTGTTGAATCACCGCATGTCCGCAAGCATGACCTTACACTCTATGGGTGGGCACAAAGTGCACACCAAAGAAAGGTCAGTTCGTCCAAAAACACCTGAGTCTTCTTCCCCTCGTCGAAGACGAGAACGATATCGTCTGCATATTCCAGTTCGACAAGCGTTTTGCCAGAAGCCATTGGAATGCCGGTGTAACACCTGAGTTTCCCCTCGTCGAAGACGAGAACGATATCGTCTGCATATTCCAGTTCGACAAGCGTTTTGCCAGAAGCCATTGGAATGCCTGCCGTCAGTTACCTGGACTTTCTTCTATTTTCAAATGCAGGAAAATAATTCAGACAAGCACTGACTGGGGATTTCAACGCCGTCATTGAACAATAACGGTGGGAGGTCATCAGGACCAGAAGCTCGGTGGTGCTTGGGAGAACATATGCAGTCATGAACCTCCAAGGCCGTAGGGCGCTCTACTATCATTGTCCATGGTTCTACGTCAGCTGTGGGGTCCAGATCAACGCCAGCTGGTGACTCCGATAGCTACTGTTTGAAGTAGTCGGCCCACTGGTCGAGGCATTCATCACTCCATTCTGATCCTTGGTGGTTTCGCTCATAGGTGGTTTCCAGGAACCGGTCGCGCGGATCAACAAAATAATATCCGGGCACTACCGGCTTCCTGGGCCTCATCCATTTCCCTGGCTTTCTGTGTCCACCAGACCATATGGTCGGCTCCTAAGCTCACTTTCACCTGGTCTGACAATTTGTCGGGACCGGCTAGGATATTTCTCCGAGATTAAAGCGGTGCCACCGTTCGGTCTGATATCCAGTGCTTGAGTGAGCCTGGTAACGCCGCGCCACAGGCAAAACTCCCAGCACAGTGCAGAGAGGTGGCAATCTCGTCTCAGAATGAATCTACATCTGATGGCAGAGCATTTGGAAGACTCTAGAAGACTATTATGGTAAATTCGTCTAATATCCGGATCTCCCGATCCCTCGGTTGCCAGACGATTTCTCCGAACCCTATGCGGCTCTGGAAAACGTGGAGACAAGCGACTTCGGACAGGTGCGCTAGTCGGAATCCACAAATGTGTTCCGACCGACAGTTAGTTAGGGCAATGTGATCGACTCACCCTTCATTAACGGAAACCACATCACACCGGAGGGGGTGTGAGGGGAACACTGAGAGAAAAGATTACTCAATCGTGGTAATAAAGAGGGACAGAGTTCTTCAACACGGAGTGGAGAGACGGGAGCGAAACTTATCTGCGCAGAGATCTCTAGGTGTAAGCAGTTAGTAGGCCATGCTGAAAAACGAACCGGCTTATTTTTGCTACTAATCCATTCTTCTGATCAGATAAAGATAAGCAGGGATTAGTGCTACTCCAAATGGATTAGCAGATGAGAATAATTTTCTGAAGCCTGAAAATTATTCCATAGAATTATTGTCAAGACGACTGGAAGCATGTTGTGGGTTCATTACACCATTGACATCCAAGTGTCCGTGTTGAATGCATACGCCTCTGGTTTATCAGCCGTTGCACTGCAACACAGAAATACCGTCACGCGTTCCTAGGAAAACTTCCCACGGTCAAACGTATAACCTTTTATGACCTAACCACGACTCGACGTGACCTATAAA